ATCTGTCCTTAGTCCTCTTTCTCAAGATGAATTACACATCTTTGAGAATCACAGAAGTCATTTCTGGTCTGTCAGTTTCCCTGATTCATGAGTCATCCTGCAAAAGAGAGGATGAAAAAGTGACCAGCAGGAGACAACAAAATGATACTTGGTTCTGAATATGGTTCTGGTCATCTCTATAACCTGGAGCATAGTTGAAGGACCCTGGAACAAGCCATGGCCTTCTTTGGTAGAGTGAGGAAACCAAAACAGCCTTTCTCAGAATAGTATTTTTAAAAGCATAGTACAAATCACATAGAATTATAAAAATGACTTATATTAAGGTATAATTTTATTAATGACCCCTTTGAGAATCTGTGAGTAGAGATTAAGCATCCTCGAGGCAAGGGACAAAGTGATGTAGCTATTAGACACCTAGTAGCTGGGAACAGCAGGTCAGATTTGATTAGATGCCACCTCATGCTGGCTGACTGATTCAGGAAGAACTTCTCAGAAGAATCCATCTGTGGTTCAGGGAAAGGAATCAGTAAAGATCCCAAGAATAGGGCTTAGCAATAGAAGCAACAGAAAGAGAGTTAGTGTAGCTCACATCTGCTCTGTCTTATTTTGCTACCTTTGCATTGGATAATTCCCCTCAATCTACACGAGAAAAATTCTCTTGCATTTTAAAAACCATATCTTGGTCCTACATTTGCCTCTAGCTACCACTTTCCCCCCTCTCTACACGCTTTTGTCTATCTGTCTCTGTCTCTCTTGTTCCCTCCCTCCCTGTGTCTGTCTGCCTGTCTGTCTCTGTCTCCCTCCCCCGTCTCTGGTGAAAAATCTAGAAGCAGTCATCCATGCCTCACTCTGCTCTTCCCTATGACTTACCTGTCTCCTGTCGCTATGTCGCTACTGCTGCTGCTTCAGCCGCAGTCAGCAGTGTTGGATACCCTGACCACTCCCTGTGTTTGCACTGTGTTCCCCCTCCTCTTTGCCTGGTTTTCTCATTAATAACGACGGTTCTTTTCAGGCTCTCCTCCAGACACTCCTATTTCTCCATCACTCTCAAAATGTCGCTCATCAACGGTTTCCTTCCTCAACTCCCTTGCCTTCCTTTATCTGCAGGCCGCAGCTGTTCTTCATTCTGTCCACACCGCCCTGCTGCAGGTGTCCGTGCTCACCTCCTGCCGATGGCATCACTGCCTAGCACACCCCCTGTCTCATGCTTGCCTGTCTGATCCAGTCTCTACCCACCCCTGGCCGAGCGGAAGCACCCTCCTCTTCAGAGCAAACCATGCCTTGATTTTCTTTGCATGGTTTTCCCAGATTCTGTCTTGGAAGCTACTTCTGTCTTGGTAAGATTTCTCCCTCTGTGTCCCCAGAGTACCCTGCGACCCATACAAGGTTCACACAATTCCCCATTGATTGTCTCCTTTCTGGGTCACAGATTTGAACCTAAGACATACACAGCTCTCGCTCCCATGGTACAGTGTGGCAGTCAGGGTGGAGTTTTAACCTAATTTTCCTTGAGGTTCATTTCCAGAATTGGTGGGACACACTTCTAGGGGAGTCTGAGTAGGTAATAAAAGCATGGGTTTAGGGTCTATGTCTGGCCCTGGCCTCTTCCATTCGGGCCCCTTCATCTGCTCTGTTTATCATGAACTAAGCAGCTTTGCTGTGCCACACACTTCTCCTGCCGTGTCTCTGCCTGGAGCCAGGGCATCCTGCACTACAGCGTGAGCAAAATAAATGTCTCCTCCTTCAAGCACGCTGTGTAGGGTGCTGCATCTCAGTGATCAGAAAGCTGACCAATATGAAGCTCAATAATTCCTCATCCAAGTAGGGAAATGTCTTAAAATGTCTTTTTTTTTCTTAAAAAAAGAGTCAAAAGATGAATTTTAAAAAGGAGAAACATGATAAAATAACTAGGATAATGACAAACTACTACCACTGATTCTCTACTTCTTTGGACAGTGTTGTGCAGATTTTATTTTCCTTTACTGAGGATTAAGCCCAGGGCTTTCCTGCCAGGCTGTATCCACAGTCCTTTTTAGTTTGAGACGGGATCTCAACAAGTTGTGTAGATGGCACTCAAACTTGTGGGCCTCCTGCCTCAGCCTCCCAAATGCTGGAATTACAGGTGTGTGTCACTATGCCCACGTGAGAATTTTTATGCAAGTATATAAAACAATAAGAGACATGATACAGTGAAGGAGACAGCTGACCACTTAGATATGACCAAATGAAGAATCTCTGAATCTCTGGCAGCATTTTATTGTTACCCTACATTTATCTCCCTCAATCATTCATCTATTTATGCATGGAACAATAATTTGGAGTAGCTGCAACATTCCAATATTAAGCATCAGGATTCAGTGGTGCACAAATATTGATAGTGCTACTATTATAGAGCCAAGAAAGAAATGAGTGAACTAACAATAAATGAGTGCTTATAAACTGAAAAATGTATACAATGAAACTTCCTGAAGCATTGTTAAGACAAGAGACCATGTGAACTTAGTTTCTAGTAAGGTTTCTGAGAGCCTGGAGCATGAAATTTGCACTTGGGTGAGACTTAAATAATTCTCTTGTCCTCTGAATTGAAGGCTTAAGCTAGAAATGCCCTAGAAGTGCCTAAAGATGATGTAATTTTCACACACATTCTGTGAGTTTGGGAGCGGATTGTCAGCATACGTATTTGTCACAGTTATTCTAGATGTGGGTTTTTTTCTTGGTCTTTTTGAGACAGTGTCTTGCTGCTATGTAGTTCAGGCTGGACTTGAATTCACTTTGTAGCCCATCTGATCTCATGCTTGAAGTGATTTTCCTGTTTCAGCCTCCTGAGTGCTGAGACTGCAGGTGTGTACCACCATGCCCATCTAGATGTGGTTCTTAATCTTGGCAGCATATTAGAGTCACTCAAAGTATTTTTTGATAGCAATGCCCTGCCCTGAGAGATTCTAACTCATTGATATGGGATGGAGTCAAGACATCACTAACTTTTTAAAAGGTGATTTTAATGTGCAGCCAGGACTGAGAACCATTGGCTTAGGTGATAGGTCAGAAGACTGTAAAAAGCATAACACCTTTCAAAGTCCAAGGAAGGAAGAGTCTCCCTTCTATACCTAAGGCCCATTCTGGGCAACACCCTGACTGAGATGCTTTGGAGGAGTTGCTGTCCCAGCTCTTCTGCCCAAGCACCAGTCTCTAATCTCGGTGATTATGCACTCCTCAGTTCCCCTCCGTAGAGGAAAAGCACATATCCTGTATATTAACGGGGTTCTCCAGTTGGCTACGTTTCCAGCAATATTCCTGCCCTTTCTCTTCAAGCCCTTCCTCTTTCAAATAACGTCTATCTACAACAGGCTGAAATCTCAGTTTCTGTTGGTAATCTATGTAATTACATTACTCAGCTACCAAACCTACTCTTGTAAAATGACTTAAGAGACATTTTTTTTTTCCAAGCCAGAAAGGACGGACCTTGCCACTCCCTGCCAGTAGCCTGGTTTGAGAAGGAGCCTTTATCTGCGTGATAGTGCCTCCTGGAAGAAGATCTCCACCTCCTTGCTGAGCCCTCCTTTTCAGCTGAGCAGGTGCTCATCAGGAAACAAAATCTCCTCCTTGCCCATGGAACTGGCAGCACCTTCAAAGTAGGCCAAAGAATTTGGAGCTTGTCGAACCAGAAATTCTTACCCACTCCCAAAAAATGCATATCCTGTTCATCCAAAGAATGATAATTAGCACCTGCTTCCACCGCTGAACTCCTGTGGGATCTGGCTGGCTGCTCTCTCGGTTCCTCCGGTCTGTCTTGGCCACTGCTCTCTAATGAACCACGTTGGTCATGTGACATGCCACCTAATCCACTAGAGAGGGTGTTGCAGGTCTCTGGGAATTTAGTTAGGTGTAACTGCCCTGACAAAACCATTAGACAGTGCAGTGCAAACGGAAGGATGCAGCTAGGACATAGCCAAGGAGGTAATCCAGGTTATGTGGCAGCAGTGAGTTACTTCCCAGAATGGTTAGAACATCGGAGGATATTAAAGCTCAGACAGGCCTTAGAAATTACCTTGTGCAAATGCCCTCAATACTTTGGGACTCACTGGCTCTGGTTAGAGTTATCAGAACAGTAGACCCTCTCCCCGGAGGAAAGAATAGACACACAACTTTTTTACACAACTTCGGGGAGTTGTGTTACAAACTCTTTGACCTCCTATTTAAAAAGCCTGATATAGTTTTATTCCTTTAGTCATCCCCCCACACACACATGCACATACATGAACACAACACCTACTCTACACACACACACACACACACACACACACACACACACACACACTCATGCTAGTTACACACTTTGAAGACCGTGAAGGCCAGAGAAGCATACTATTCTCTAAGGGACTCACAGGCTCATAACAGAGATACAGACTCCACATTCCTGATTGGAGTCTTAATGGAACTTACCTAAGGACACTATCCTAATGCTTACCCAGAAGATGTTTGGGAACTGACTTTTTCTGGGACCATTCTCCTTCATCTAAGAATTCCCTTCTATGAACTTCACTTTGTCTGTGGGCTTTACCTTTTTAGTGAGATGGGCAGCGTTGCTTAGACAGCCCTAACCTATTCACAACCCTTCCAAGCACCAAGTCAGGGAGTCCCAGAGCCATATCTTCACCACAGCACCATCTGGTGGAGCACTGTAATAAATCGTACCTGTGAAGTGCCCAGGAGGCAGGGCAATTCCTAGGATGAGGGGAGCATGTGCTTTTTCTTCCATTTTTAATGCCACGAAAGCAATTGTGTCCAGATTTTTGATATGACCATGCTCTTAAATATCACTAATGAAACCAAATTCAAAGACTAAGTGAAAAACTGTAATGTGGCTGGAAAACTCAAGTTTTTATACCGTAACTCCTCATACAAAGTTAATACAACAATCCTCCCCCACCCCAACCACAGGTAAATCTAGAAGTGAGGGTAAAAAGCATTTGTCTTGGAGGACCAATTGGTAACTGTACCTGGTAAGTAGAACAGACCTCACAGTCCTGGGTCTTTACGCACTGCGGTCCCATCGCCTGCAGGCAGTGGGATTCTGTCTTTATCTCTGCCATCTAGGGCTATATAATCCTTGGTAAATCATTTAATTGTTCCATCCTGACACAGAGATAATTCAAAACCAACAGGCTATGGCACTTTATCAGTACTGTATGACTTTGACAGTTTATCACTTCAACTTCCTGTATCTTGATTTCCTCTTCTTTAAAACAAGGAAGACAATAAGATGACTCATCTCCTATGGTCATTGGGAGGATCAAATTGTCTAATTTGTCCAGTTTTATGACATTTTCTGCCTAATGGAATGATATGGGCTTTACTGGAAATGTTCATCATCTGAAAGAGCTATATATTTTTCCCAAGGTCATTTGTTGTCAGGGAGTTGCCTAACATACCCACATGTCAAGCGCTCTGTGTAGGACCAGGGTCAGCCTGTCTGTGAATGTTTCTTCCTCTTCCTCAGGCCTCTGAGGGAAACATTATCTATAAGCTTCAGCATCACAAAAAACCATAACTTTCATTTATCAGCACTCCCTGGAAATATCTCACAGATTTCAATATCCCATGTAAAACTGGCATAGTATTTAGGCATAGAGAAATCAGATATTAATGAGACAAGGGAACCAAGAAAGAAATGATCAAGTTCACTTGCTTTCTTTACAGATGATGAAACTGAGGTCTGGGTCACTCGGGGCACACAGCTACAAATGGCAGATCAGGAGAATAACTCAGGACCTTCACGTTTAGTTCTGCCTCCAATCATGACAATGAGGGAAAAAGAAAGAAAGAAATATACGGAGTTAAATACACTGGAGTCAAACACAACCTGTGACTCATCAATATACCTGGGTTGCTAAGCTGCAAACGCTGGGCACAGTGTCTCAGGCTTCATCCATGGTCTGAAAGGATCAAGTTTCCAAAGCTTTGAATGCAGAGCCATTGGTCAAACTCCTCTTCTCTGAAAATCCCAGGCCAAAACCCACGTCACTGTGCAGTCAGGCCTACCTGCCCTAGCAGGACACGGGGCACCATCCCAGCTGGAGCCTGTGAGTGCCTCAGCAACTAGAAGCTTCAGTTTCTTGGAATGGAAAAGCAGAAAGTTAGTGTGGCATGGCACAATAAGAAAGACTGCTGGGGCGTTCAAATGACGTGGCTTCAACTCCTACAAGTCCTCCAAAGCCCTAGGACGCGTCAAATGAACCTCAGAAATGGTTCATCTGCTCTATCGATTTTGCAACTTTTTCAGAAAAAAAAAATTTTCATCACAGTCAGCTAAGACAACTGTTTCTTCTCACTCTGACTGCAGCTCAGCCCACTTCTCTTTGTGTTAGGTGCCATTGAGTGGTCAGGGATATTTTGGCATCTACAAAAGGGAAAGTAGATTTGGCAAGAGATTTAGCTTTGTGGGAAATAATACAGTGGTTCCCACTCACTCCTAGCATGTGAAGGAAGCTGCCGTTTTTCACCCACACGTAGGAGTGACCTGAGGAATAACCTCGCTGCCAGGCTGTAGGCTCGTGCAGTGTCCTGATGGGAAGGTCCAGGGCCCTGATGGCATTAGAGCGTGAATGTGTCCTGAGGTGGCTGACAGGAAAGCTCCACGAGACTGGAGAAGAAACAGCACAGGCGCGTGGGAACCAGAAGCTTCTGTGGGCTTGGCAACGTAGCAGTGAGAAGAACTTATCAAAACATGAATTCTTTCCTACCAGAATATGATGTTTCCCACAGCGTACAACCATACATGTACAATTATATATGTTTTTAACACAATTATAAATGCACTAAAATTATAATGTCTGTTACTTTTTATAGAAACAAATGAAGCAGAATATATCAAAAAAGACTATTTGAGAATAAAAATTTATTGCAATATTAAAGAAAGCAGGAGTAATTGTGTGTGAAGTAGTATATGTCATACATTTCTCCCACAACTAAATAATAGATTTGGATCAACTATACTATCCTGAACACAAAATTATCCTTCTATTCTCTTGTATAAAGCTAACTAAAAGTGTTTCTGTAGGGGCTGGGTATTTAGACCAGTGGTGTAAGCACCTGCCTGGAAAACACAAGGTTGTGAGTTCAATCCCTGGTACTAAATAAATAAATAACAACTATTGCTAAGGCAATCAAAAGATAAGAAAAAGCCAAAGCAATTTGTTAAAAAAACAAACAAACAAAAACCCCAGCCATTACTTTGGGGATTATATGATGATTGAAGCACTTTTAGTTTTTTATAATTTCTGGTGATTTCATTTTTTTTATTTTAAGTAATGTGCATGGCTATTTTTGTAATTATTTCTTCCTCTTTCCCAGGCCTCTGAAGAAAATATTATATACAAACTCCAGGATCACAAAACTTACCTGTCCACCCTTATCAGGAACAAAGAGAAAGAATGAGAGGAGGGAAAACAGAAAATGGAAAAAGGAAAAAAGACAAACAGAAGGAAAGAAGAAAAGTCACACCATCACAAGAATCACAAGGGGTTTGAGACACCGTGACCTCTGAGCAGGTCTTTTATCCACTAAGAGACAATGACCTCCTAAGTGTTCTTTTCATCTAATGTACTCTAAGAAACACAGAGAAGTTTGACAGCTAGTTCGTTTTCCTGATATATACGATGCTTGAAGACATCGAAACCCACTTGGTTTGGTCCATGGATTGCAGGGTTCATCCACTGCAGGTATTTATCTTTCCCAGGAATTTGCATTCTCATTTTGTCCAATGTGGCATGGTTTATCTTACATGACAAAGCCAAAGTATGAGTAATTCAAAGAGCAGAAGAAGATAGAGGAAAGGAAATAAGGGAACAAATCTTTGGTAAGCCGGAAGGGGAGCAAGAGACCGACGGAGGGGAGAGGGAAGGGGAAGAAGAAAGAGTAAAGATGTAGTACGTACATGTATCAGCTCCTCATGATGAATGTAATCATGTTTTGCAAACATGTACTAGTAAAACTTTAAACAAATTTAATAAGGTTACAAGCATTTATCAAGGAGCTAAGCAAAGGAGATTGGGCTAACAAAATTTTAAAAAGTAGGCCTTTAAAATGATGGTTCTATAGTATTCTGGTAAGAAATGTAACATGGTATTACCAGGTTTTACTTTCTACTGGCTTTGATAGCAATCATCCATCTTTCAGATTTACCCTAAGTAAATTCCTTGGTGTCATTTTTAACTATAAAATTTTCCTTCTGAATCTCCTTGTGGTCTTCCAGATGCTAGTAGCAATGAGAAAAATAAGACAGAATTACACAGCAAATATGTACACCCTCCACACAGAAGCATGTTGGAAAGTCCATGCTGAGAGTATCCAAATCATGGTGGCTCTCTTAGTCCCAATTTAAATTTCCCAACTTATTATTAAAAAAAAAGATAACAGAGAGACTTCAAAGTAGCTACCATGCCTAAAAACATAGGCAGAGATGTCATGAATGATTTGCTGATATTATATGGAAAGCACATACTAGTATAATAACGTTATCTGTTGTAGGCATGATGGCTGCTATTGAGTACAGCAACAAAATGGGAAGTTCACAATTAAGCACTGAACCTTACAAAGGGTTAATGCCACACGGCATTGGGCTGATAGGAGGTTGCAGAGTGTAAGATTTGCAGATATGAGTACTCACAGGGCAAGGAAATATTCCCTGAGGTTGGGCAAAGGAACAGGAAAGCAGATAAGAGCTGTCATCCCTTGGCCTGCTGCCAGGATCTGAGACAGTTGCCATATGGAGCTCTGAATCCACTCAACAAAACTCAGTGTTGCTTGGAAGTTCTCTGAATATGAAAGGAATGTCCCAGCTTGGTGAAGGAAGGACAGAAAAGGCCTCCTTAGGGACTTCTTATTCCATGCCTGTGGTTTCTCTGGGAAGGACAGTTTCATGCTTCATTATTTTCCTTAGTCATGACTTGCTTTAATTGGGAGAAATACAAGCAGAAGCTGTGAAGGGATATTCCGTTGAGACTCACTGGTTACAGCCTGGGATCCAGTGTATAAATCCAATATTGTGTTCAAAAGGATATCATTTTGTGCATCCTATGTATCAGTAGTGTACATTACCCTATAATATAAAAAGGAAAGGTATACTTGTGAGCAATGCAACCATCTGTCACACTACATACAACATTAAATAAACCTTAAACAGTGGGGGGGGGGAGAATATTCAGGAAGAAAGAATGAATTTTGCTCTACATAACTATGTGGTAAATTTTACAAGTATAAGGTTAAGCAAAAGGCTCAAGTGACAAAACTGCTCAGAGTGTGAATTATAGGGCTTCATTTACAGAAGAATGCAAAACTAAGCCACAGCATGATATCAGAGAGTCACCATTGTAGTCACCTCGTGGCATGCATAAGACTGAGAGCGATAGAAATGGAAATATGCAGATGGTCCTCCTCACAGCTATCTAGAAGAGCCATCCTGGGCTGGGAAGGCAACACAAGAGCTGAACCCTCTTCTTTCAGATTTCCAAATGCAGCCATTGGGCTGGAAGGAGGTGGCAGCTGCTGGCCCAAAGTGGACACTTGCTTTTTTGGGCACTAACTCCTATCACCATTGCCCCTCTCTCCGTTGTCAGGCAAGTCATGAGCTCTGAAGGAGCTCTTTCATCTTAGAGCTCACTAACCTTAGTGCTCTGTCCTAAAGCTTGGTGACTCCAGAGAATATCACACTCCATCTCTAGAAACAGAACACTGATAAGATTACACATGCAAGTAAAATAAGCATAACTGAATAATCCCTCCAGAATAAGAAGCAGAATGAATCTGGGAAGTTACACCATCCTGAAGGAAGAGAAGTTCATACACTCGGAATGGGAGATATACATAGATATGAATCATGGATCTAGCAAGGATGTTAATAACTCATACATACTTACTACCTTTTCAAGGTAAATATAAATCCCTTACATAATCATATGTGTCCTTCACATGTTATTCAGAACTAGCTAGGAAGTATAAAAGACTTCATGAAGGTAAATAAAGGAAAAGATCAAGGTGTCATACAGAAAAAAGGCAAGAAGCAAGAGGGATCTACCAGATACAAGAGGAATGGAAAGTGGAAAATGCACC